ATTATGGGGGCCACCTGAGAGGTTGTCAGACACAGTTGCTGTGTTTCATTTAAAATCACTTTATATTCCAGATGGAGAATTCCTGTTTGTTTGGCATAGTCATTTCTCAGGTTTTGGTGAAGTGTCAATAGGAACTTTTTATCACATTAGAAATACTAGTCTGTATTGATTCACAGAAATGTATATGTACACATACATTAAGAGATAGAGAATATAGGGGATCCCTGGGTGGCGCAGCGGTTTGGCGCCTGCCTTTGGCCCAGAGCGCGATCCTGGAGACCCGGGATCGAATCCCACGTCGGGCTCCCGGTGCATGGAGCCTGCTTCTCCCTCTGCCTGTGTCTCTGCCTCTCTCTCTCTCTCTCTCTCTCTGTGTGTGACTATCATAAATAAAAAAAAAAAAGAGAGAGAGATAGAGAATATAAACATGAGAAGGCAGATGGAAAAATATCTGCTTCTGCTACTGCTTTCCACTGTGGTTGAACAGTTTGGATGCCACAGATTTGGTATCATAAGAGGTACCCTGCAAACCAACAGTATTGCATGTAGAGAATGTAAAAAGTCAAAAAGGTCTACCCATAAAGACTAGCTCAGGAATTTGCTTCTGTCTTGTCTTTTAGTTACCCGAATTAACAACGGGTACACATTGAACAGGAGGCCTTTATGAACTGGCATGGTATTGCTAGGCTCGTTGTTTAATGTTTAGAGTCTACAAAGCTTGAAGGAGATTGAAGTCACATGCTAGGAAACACTACACAGATTGTGTACATAGTTCAGACCTGGAGATCTGGTGTCTTCAAAAATCTTATACTATCTATCAAATGATGTAGCAAAAATATTTAGTTAAAAATTGTTATTGATACTATAAGAGCCAAAGTTTGCTTTTAGCTCTGTAATATCCTCTTGTTTGTGATATGGATATTATTCCTGGCCTCCTCATTGCAGTCAGAGGCTATTTATTTTTTCAATAGCATTGAGCATCCTCCTGAAAGACTCCTATAGTGTCTGTCCTTCTGTACATCCATCCATCCAACCATCCATTCATCCACTTATCCAGCAGACGGCTATTGAATTCCTGTTGTAGTCCCCATACTGTGCTGAGTTCAGATGTAGACACAGTATTGTGGTCTTTGCTCTTAAGGAAATTTCAGTTCATTTGACACACACCAAAGAGGCAATGGGTGTCATTCCTGTTCTCACACAATTTATAATGTCACTGATTAGATTGTTTTAAAATAAATTTTAGCTAAAAGCATTTATACATAAATAGTTAGAAATGAAGAAATGATGTGCTATTTGAAATGTAAATTAAGAGAAATGATTAGTTCAATCACTGAACATTGAATATGTAGTTAATGAGTATTTACTCTACTCCAGCCCCCTTTGAGGTTCAAAACCAAAATAGATAGTAGATAACCAGCTACTGTGCTGTGGTTCCATTCCTGGCCCTGTCTCTCATTTGGATGGAGGAAAATCACATGATGAGGAAGGGGCTATAGCGAATAAGAATCCTCAAAGAGCCTACCCTTCCCTGAGTTCTAAAGCAAGTGATAGTCTCCACAGAGTTTCTAGATCACTCTTCACCTGCTCCACATTCCTATCTATGGGATCATTGTGAGTGTCTGACCAAGAAGTTTGTAATAGCCATGACTTGGGATAGTGTCAGGGTTGGAAGACTACACCTCTAGTCAAAATAAAAGAAACACTGTAAAGGGATTTGTGTCTTTTGTTTTTAAGACCAGATCCGCACATTACACTTCAAAGGAAGGGTGAAGGTGTCCATCCAGTAGTGTCCCTTGGAAAGAAAAGAGGTTCAACTTCAAAGGAAGAGTGTGTCATAATTCCTGAGCTTAAAATGAAATGCTGTCTTTTCTTTTCCTGATGAATGGGTGAAATTATAACAAAGACTTAATATTAGGGTGAATAAGAAGGAATTCAGCTATTTGTGGTTAAACAGCAGTAGAACCATAGGTCTTAGCCTACCAGAAACTTGCAAACCACTGATGAAAGGTGTCAGGTGGGTGTAATTTCTCTAGCGTGTCTTGAGTATGGAAAGGGTGTAGTACCTAACTCAAACCTGTAATTAAAGAACAAGACACAACGAGGTGAACATCGTGCCAGAACATCTGTATCCAGGTAGGCATGTTGCTATAAGGCAGACGCCGTGGCAGCTCAAGAAATTGAGCATTGCACAAATCCCAGTGTCTCTTTCTACACTTCTGAAAGGTCTTATTTTATTACTCTGTTTATGTGAAGACTTAGTTATGAGCTGATGACACGAACGAACTTAGAAATTTCTTAGCTTGAATCCAATGCCTCTATTCAAGTAGGCCTGCTTTCAAGGTAAGACAAATTTGCATTCAGTTGGAGTCTAAACAAAATTAAACTCTGCTCTGTACTACAAAGGCTACCAAACTAGTTATGGCAGATCAGCAAGAAGAAGTCTCAAAGACAGGACCGCTTCAACTCTGTGCTTCCAATCTTGAGGCTTCCACCTTGGCATCATCAGTAGCATGAGAACCAGTATCAGTGGAGTATCAGGTTAAAACAGCAGGTGAAATGCCATTACAAAAGATATCATTGTATCCCAATCAGTGGCTTTATATGAGAAAGATTACCAGTGGTCCATTAAGATGTTGGCATAACAGAAAAATTGACATAGATCCCCTTTTTTAATAAGACAGATACAGAACTGTTATGTCTTATAAATGAATTCTGAAAGACCCAACACTTTGACTAATAATTTAGCTACTCCAGGTTTATCATAATGGAATTTAACCCATAGATGGTCCTTGGCTATTTGCCTTCAATTCAAATACCACTTGCATAGGAAACAGAATGGGAAAGAAAGCCTTTCTGTACTTTCCACCACCCCGCTGCCCCACTGAGGGTACCTGTTGGCTGGAGAGTGTGCAGTCACCTTCTCCCATCTGGGGCGAGGCCTCAGTTGAGCTTCTGGGGCCTCAGCTCCAGTGCCCTTCATGTTTTCATGGTGCTGGCATCTGTGCCTGGGGCAAATGAGGAGGGATCCAGGTCTGGTTACTATAACAGACCCCAGATAACAACCTGTGAGCGCACCCACCCTGTGCTGGCAGTGGCTACACAGAGTCAGAAACCACACTCCTGGCTTGTGGCTCCCTACGTCTAGGATCTCCCCTCCACAGTTGGCCCAACATGGGACCAATGGGGGCCACATCTCCTTCCTTCAATAAGAAGCATCACTCACAAGGTGCTCACTTTATTTCCAAGCATAGCCATTTTGAAGAACAGGGAAAGTGGATATGCAGGGTAATTGTTTCTCCCTGCCATGATAGCCTCATGTTCAAAACTAGTTTCAGTGCTCCAGTACACCTCTCCCCCGCCCTTTTTTTTCCCATTTGCAACTTTCCATTTATTTGTGCTGTTCCTTTTTTTTTTAATAGTTCTTTAAAAATTGAAGTATAGCTGACACACAATGCCACATTAGCACACCCTCTTTTATAATAGCTCCTTTGCCCAATCCAGACAGAATATTTGTCTTACCGTGTTGGGCACAGGCAGAGAATAAGTAGCGCTGTGACCTCACCATTAGAGTCCCTGTGTGGTGGATGTAAGACTTAGATAGACTGTGTTCTAAAATTTGCCACACACTGTGATCAAGGAATCATTGTTTTTTTTTTTTTAATATTCTTAATCAGGTAGGATTTGCTCATCTAGTTTATAGGTTTATGGTAAGGATTATACCTTATGTTTTATTTCCTGTGGAATTAAAAGATTTGCTAGAGAATGCTTATCTTTGTTAAAAAATGAGCTTCTAGACTTCCTGTGGTGATCGCTTCAAAATACATACAAACATCGAATCATTATGTTGTACACCTAAAACTAATGTAATATATCAATTACACCTCCATTTAAAAAGTGAAGAAATTAAATTAGTAATGAAAGAATAATAAATCTGTCATTATGACTAAAGCTCAGTTTTTTGTTTATATCTTTAAAAAAAAACCTCAGGCTTCAATTTTTCTTCCTCAAAAAATGTGAATATCAACTAAAGCATACATTAGAAGACAGTGGATTATTGCATGTTTGTTTTAGAAAAGCAAAAAAAAATTAGGTCATAAATATGTCTTTTGAGGACTGCTGTGGTAATTCTAGCTTCTGTTGTAGCAACATTACCATCAATAGGCTGTGCTAAGTTTATGTGCTGGCACTTGGATAACCTTCCTATTACTAACAGCTCAGAACGTAGGTGTTTCAGCATTTAGGTACCCAGCAAGAACAGTAGTTGTAGGACAAGGATTTTCCAGTGGAACAGTATGCTTCCATGAAAACTCACATGGCCCTTCTTACAATAACAACATCGTTGTCCTTCTTAAAAAAAAAAAAAATGACATGCTCAGTGCCAGACCCATAACATAATTCCCTCTCCTGGTGTCAATGACCAGGCAGGCTACACCGGATATGAAAGCTGTCCCCGTTCCACCATCTTTGCTCCTCCTGCTGGGTGTGAGCTGTCCTCTCTCCATGTCTGTCACAGAAATGAATCTCAGCAGTGATGAACTTGTGAACAATTAGGTGTGGCAGGTTTGCTTTCCTCAGGGTCCCTTTCCTTGACTTGCAGATGACCGTTTTCTGGCTGTGCCCTCAATGATTTTTCCTCTGAGCCCATGCCTGGTATCCCTCCCTTCTTATAAGGACTCCAGTCCAACTGGATTAGGACCTACCCCCACAGCTTGAATTTAGTCTACACTTTTAAAGCCCTGACTTCAATACAGTCACATTCCAAGGTATTAGGGTTAAGCTTCAACATATGATTTTTTTTGGGGGGGGGACACACTTCAGTCCATAACAGTGTATAAAATGTGGAAAAATATTAATATCATGAGTGACACGGCCCTCTAAAGTTAAATCTGAATTAAAACCTTTGTGGATTTCCTTATTGCGGTTCCATTGTGTTCTCATACATAATATCTGAAAATACAAAGACTTACTATTTCCTGTGTTATGTTTTGTTTTGGCAGGCCTGGCAGCTTCGATTCAGCCATCTTGTGGGCTATGGTGCCAAGTACTACTCTTACCTGATGTCCAGGGCAGTAGCTTCCATGGTGTGGAAAGAGTGTTTTCAACAAGATCCTTTTAACAGGTAACAAAGGGGAAGAATTCTCTAATGCTAGTGATCCCCCAACCTGCTGTGTCTAAAGCCAGGCTGAGAAGCTCAGCCACTTGCCACCTCACCCACACCACCGCCAGGACTTCCGGGTGGGCCTCCCTCGGGCTTCCAGTGACAGAGCCTGGCCCTGAGCCTCTGACTTGCTCCACAGCACCGCACAGTTGCCACACGTTGGTGATGGCATGGCGCCCTCCCATCATGCCCGTGGGGACCTTTGTGTGAGAGCTCTTTGCTTCTCCAAAGTGGGCCTAGACTGCCCTGCTTCCATGCCTCCCTGGTGGGTTTTCTTAGTTGTTCCAGCCTCCCTCCTTGTCTTTACCCTGCTCTCTGTTACTTTTGACAGCATTCCTTATTTTCAGCGCAAGCTTCCAAGGATTCATTCATGGGGAACACCTGATTTCCTTCTTATTGCCCAGCAAAGGATTAGCCACCGTTGTTCATTTGGGAGCAGCACCATTAGAAACTTTGATTATTGATTCTAGCATCCACTTTGTTCCGGAAAGTTCCCCTCCCCCTCCACCTGACTTTGGAACACTTCCATTCTGTGTAGGACAGTGGCAGTCTGAAGAAGGGGAGTGGCTCCCCTGATCATTTCCTCCACGGCATCATGTTATGGGGGCCAGTGACCACCCCTTAGCATTGGTAGCTGCAGAACTCCTGCCCTGCATCGCTCTCCACTGCTTGCCTCCTGCGTGCCCTCCCGAACAGCCTTGTTCACCATTGTCAGCATCAGGATGGGGCAGGAGTTCAACAGCAGAGGCCACAGCTGTCATGAACGTAATTGTGTGGTGACTCTCAGCCCTGTCCAGAGCATATTTCATCAGCTCAGCTGGTGACTGTGTGAGTCTTTAACAATTCTGTTAGGGACTCTGGGGAGGTTGATTGATTTCAGCCAGGGATACATGGTGCCCACCCCCATCCCCACTATGGAGGTGGTCACGCACAGTGGTGGGCCGGAGAAGGAGGGAGAGTGGGGTCTGGGAGGGGCAGCCTTGCATCTCAGTAGGCTCCCGCCAGCCATGGAAGAAGCACAGGATTGCTTCCATTGTGCCCTCAGTGGGCTCCCTGATTCTCACAGGCTTCCCTCAACACCGGGAACCTCGGGGACGTCCGGGAGTTCTGGTCCCATCGAGTCCTTAGAAGGAGCTTCCTTTGAAAGCAAACCACTAATGATGATCTGGTCTAATATTCATTTAAAGCACTTTATCTCCTCACCATGCAAATAAACACATATCCAAATACTTCTCAGGCAGCTGTGGATGATGACTAGTATCTTCACTGCTTTCATGTGGTTGTGGTTTAAAATTAATGGCACCTGGGATGTTCAGAGTGCCCAGAAGTTCCCATGTGGCACGTTATTTTACGTTCGCAGCAGCCTTGGTAGAGCAGGTGCTTCTTGTAAGAGGGAACTGAGGCTCAGAGGGGACAAGTGGTCTGCCCAAGGCTTCCCAGTGAACAGACTGGACTTGGATAATAAAGCAGGTCTGTTAATTCTGACCCCTTTTCCTTCCCTGTCTCCTGCCCAGCCCCCAGCTTTTCATGCAGTTTGACGTAGGCTTGGATTTTCTTAGCTTTTAATAATCACATTCAGTTCCAAGGCCTTTTGAACTTGAATCTGATGTAATCGAATTTTTAAATGTTTTACAGCTTGGTACCCACATGTTATTTTGTCTTCCGCCCTTTGCACACTGCAGACATTTGGTCTGCTTTTCAGATTTTATTATTTTCAAAGGACCTAAAGCCAAAATTGACTATAATAAATCAGTTTGGGGGATTATGATTCTTTACTGGAGATTTCTATAAACCAGGGAAAATATTATCTTGCTTAAAGGAAATGTACTTTACTAGAAAACCGCATACTATTAAATACATATATTTCCAGGCATTTATATCTTGTTTATATGTGCATTCTTGCGTAGACATGTAGTTCACCATACTTTTATAGACATGTAAAAGTAAGCTAGTAAAAATACTCACTGACTAGAAAGTTTCTAACCCATGTCAAAGGATCCTTTTTGATCCAACTTCTGAAAAATCACCAGCCTGGAAGCCTCACCAGAAAGCCAAGGAGTGCAGACCTGAGGCCTGAGAACAGGGTCTGAGGGGAGGGAAACTGCAGACTCTTGGCCACTCCGTCCCCTCCCTGGGTGGGCCCAGCCTTCTGTCCATGTTTCCTAATTCATGACACACTTTGCCTTTGCATCCACAGAGTGTTTGATATCAACATATTTTTGATACTGTAATACTATCAAAACTTCTGATTAGAAACTATGTTCACAAAATTGCCCATACATAAAGATGCTCCTGAAATAGTGGAATGAAACATCATGTGCATTTGTGTAACTTAGAGCATCATGGTGTGTAGTCATCTGGCATTAAAGGAATTGCATTTTTCATAAAATACAAACGTAGTGTTAGATAGCTTGTCTCCAGGTGCTGATAAGTTGGAGAATTTCTATCTGTAAAAATTCTCCAAAATCTGCCTGCAAGTATTATTATAGATAGTGTTCCCTATAGAACCCAGCAGAGAGAGAGCATCAGAAGATGCAGATGAGCTGTTCCTGCCTTTGCCTTCACCCCTGGTGCACTCAGGAGTCAACTTCCTGTTCCCAGGCTTGTTACCCTCAGCCCCGGAGGGGGTGTAATTAGCCCCCTCCTGCCAGTTTTGTCTCCCTCACTTTCATTTCACAGTGTTATTTTTCTCTCTCAGTTTCATCTCAGTGTAAATAATTTCAAATCGCACTTTAAGGGAACACCAAAGGTAATGGAGAATGGGATACCTTTTACTTAACTATATAATACAGAAACTAAATGATCCTTTCTTTGAAGAGAGATTGCTTGCTCTGAAACAGAAAGATGAAAATACAGTTCTCCTTTTATAGTAAATATTTCACACCCGGTTTTACTTATTAGAATAATTTAAATTTGGAATTAGAGTTTTAGAAGCAAGAAAACAGAGGACTGAATTGTCTCAAGGTGGCAGCTTTTCTGAATATGATGTCAGTGGCTTCGTTTTGAGAAACTAAGACAAGTGTGACCTGGGACTATAACAGAGTGTCCTCTCCTCTCCCACAGGGCAGCAGGGGAGCGTTATCGCAGGGAGATGCTGGCACACGGCGGGGGCAAGGAGCCCATGCTTATGGTGCAAGGTAAAACAAAAGGATTGATAATTTTTCTATGATCCATTTTTTAAAAAGGTTTTCTGGGTTATATATATATTTTTTAATTATTGAAGTATAGTTGACATAACAATGTATTAGTTTTGGGTATGCAACATAGTGTTTGGACAAGTCTGTACATTACACATAAGTGTAGCTACCATCTGCCACCAGAAACTGTTACTACAATATTATTGACTATATTCCCTATGCCATACTTTTCATCTCTGTGACTTACTTATTTTATACCTGGCAGTTTGTATCTCTGTCCTCTCCATCTATTTCGCCCATTCTCTCCCTACTCTCCCATTTTATGGGCTTTATGTTTTAGTATTGGATCTTTGAGGTATGTTTTTGCACCATCTATAATAAAAGCTGCTCATATTTTCTCTATACATTTTTCCCTTTAGAGATGAGGCTTCAGCTGTGTACTTTGTTCTGAGCATCTATTTATTGTATCCCAAACAACAATTTAATTTTTAGTTACTGCAATTTATTTAAATTCCAACATGAATTTCAGGTTTTAACTTTTAAAACGTTCCTAATGCTCTAATAGGAAATTTGTAAATTTGTCATAAATTATCAGAAAATTTGCCTTTAGGTTTTAACAGGCCACAGTGTATGTCTTTAGCCTAAAGGACTCATTTTTTTCTTATTCCTTTATTTCTTTCTCCAAAAGCTTAGTTAGGCCTTTGCTAGAAATCCCAAGGCATTGGGCTAGATTTTTTACCCACTGAAAAATGAGAAACTAATTAAATCTCTTCCAGATTACCACAATGCTTGTTTTCCTGTGTAATATGGGGGGTTAATTTTTTTCATTTAAGTATTTTCCCTGAAAATTTAATTGTAGATGGAAATGACCATCATTTTTCATAAAATATTCTTACAGATATTTTAAGGAAAATGTGAATATTATTGGATATTCTCAACATATCAACAATTATATTTGCAGCTGACACTTCTCTCTAGCTGATAAACATTAGGAAACATTAGGAACATTAGGAAATAACATCCAGTATTGGAGAAGCAGGATAGCAATGGGTCTGACATCAATGTTTCCTTGCCTAGATCTGTTCAATCTAATACCTATTGCCCATTTTCTCAGAACCCCTTTCCTTCGTCTGTTTTTTACTCAGCAGCTACGTGCTGAGTGCTCCTGGGTGCCCGGCCCTGTCATGGTGCTGAGCTATGCTGAGGGCAGTGCTGAAAGACTCACAGACAAACACCTGGTTCTTGTGGAACTTGGCCACGAAGGTGCTTTCTCCCAGGCACCATCTGCCCAATGCCGTGTTCTGTTTAGAAAACAGATCAGCCGACCCAGAGAGCCTACGGTTTCAGGTAGCCTGGCCCAACCGCCATGACAAAAGCCCTTCACAACAACACTCTGGTCTCCTGTCGGTACCCTGTGCCTCAGAGTTGTCATTCTGGGATGGAGAAGGTATGCCAGTGGCACCTCACTTCCCACTTGTTCCTTCATGGCCTGTCCTGAACTCTGCTACACCCAGGGGCAGGTTTTACATGGTTTACATGCATCAACTAACTTCATCATCTAGTACCCCTATAAGGTACTAAGGATCACTATTCCCATGTTACAGATGCTGAAACAGGTCAGGTCTTTGGCCTATGTTAGAGGCAGTGAGTAAAACAGTCAGGAATTAAACCTGTGTCTTCTGTCTGCAGAGAGAATGCTCTCCAGCAGTCTGTGGAACAGGACGCCAGGGTAAGGGTCTCTCATGGACCGACCCACGTAAAAGAGAGATGACCAGGCTCATGATGAGAAACCACCGAGAGTGTACATTGTGTACTTCTCAGCTGGTGGTTTGTGGTGCCTCACAGAAAGCCCACTGTGAGTCAAGAAGGGCTGTTGCAGTTTGCTTCCTCCTGTAGCTTTTCTGTGACATACACTCTCCTGGCAGCGTGTTTAGCTTTTCCTCTTTGAGACCAGGATCTAAACACTGTCTGCACATAAATATTAGCATACATATGGTTCCCTCAAAAGAAAAAAAATCAAATCCTTTTCTATGTTTGTCCTTTGGCTGTTATATTTTTCTACTGGCTTCCAAGAATGTTGTAACAAACCTCTCTAAAAATTCTGTTCTTTAGATGAAACATCATTGTGTTAAGAAACTTAATATTTTCCACACTGAAATTCGCACACTTGGGAGAGAAAAACAAGACTGTGGTTCAAACCAGAGACGATAAAGTATTCAGATTCCAGTTAACACCAACAATGGGAGAGTTCTGCTTTTAAACTTTAATATTTTTCTTAATGTTGTTCCGTCATATCTCATTAATTCACATGATTTGTTACATGTCAAAGATGAATGGGAGACGTGCAGAGGAATTATGGCTGTTGTCACTTTATAGGGCTGGATTTGTAAGACAAGACCAGCAGTGGCTTCTCATTTTCTTGTAGGCAGTCAGCCCATACCCCTAAACAGGAATGTCTTAGGGGATGGCTCATAGCCAAACTCCGGGGTGCCCCAAGGAGTAGTGATTGGTGAAATTACTAAGAGTTGTGATATAAAAGCTTAAATAATCCAGTAGGTAGTATTCTTGTATGAAAATGTAATTTTTATAGGTGTTTATATATGTTACTTAACTACTTACTAGGTAAATGTAAAGAGTTATAGAGTTACATCAAGTAGCAGAAGATAAAGAAAGAACACCTTTTTTTAAGCTATGTGCCTCCCTGACCAAACAACAACTTGATTAACCGTGCTTTAAGGCTTATGTTTCAAATGAACTCCAGGCAATTCCTTAGAGTCAGAATACCTCTCTGCTTTGTACTCATGCTCTTTGAATGATACATAGTCAAAGGAATCAAGTATGCCATGCTTTTTTGGTCTTTGAATAATCAAAACAACACAGGACCTATTTTTGGAATGAGTCGTCATTAACCCTGAGTCCGTTGATCTTTTCTGGTCCCACCAACAGATGAGCACCCTTGTGGCCAAAGCCTGGTCTGAAGGAAGTACCAGAGAACACAGCATTCCTCCTCCTTTTCTCCTTTGCTCCACGTTCGTCAGTTAAAGGCTGCTGCCTCGCAGCCCTGTGTGCTGACTCAGCTCTGTTCCCAGGGAGCCCCACGGGGAAGTCCAAGTCAGGGCCACAGAAGCCTTTCCTAGAGTCTGTATTTGTTTCCACTCAACACACTAAACCCCATTTGAAAACAACGTGGTAGTTAAATAGTAGTTAAAACCACATTCCCCTCCTGGGAGAAAAAGGGAGGTCACATGGTACAACCACCTGGGATCTGCAGTCCCTAGCTCCACTTCTTCTTAAGAAAGTCACTCACCTTCCCTCGAGGAGAAGAGGAGTGATTTGGCATCACAACTTAATTTCCTTCTAATATGCTCGTCCTTAGCTCTTGCCCCAGTCCATCTCTGAAGGGGCGCTTATGTGTACCCAAGGGATAAAACAGACGGAGTAGAAGGAGCTACAGATTGAAGTTATATCCTCATCTGCTTTTAAACACATTCATGGCATATGTAAAAGTAGATGTTATAAGCACAATATTCGTTTACTTATTAATCCCCCCACTCAACAGTTTGGCAATACATGACTGAAACCAACTTTTTTTCATTGCCAGGAACTCTGGGGTGAGATTGAACTCTTTGTATAGTGAGAGTTTTTCTGCTCTTCATGCCATCTGCTACCTGCCAGTATTTTTTGGTTTATGTTAAGTATTACATTTCTGAGTAATAAAAGAACTTAAAGTTTTTGCTTAAAAGAAACAATAACGATACAGCATTTTCATTCATTTTGCTATTTTTAAAAAGTATACACTGGAATACTTTTAAGTGTGCTGTGGTGGACACGATCCAAAGTTCAGTTTCTATTACAATCATTTCAGAAAATGTATGGTTTTCTAGAAGACAAACATGCAGTAAAGGTTTGTGAGTAGCAGGGGAGTAATATTTCATACCCACTGTGAAGTGGAATTGTTTCTTACTACACCAAATACAAGAGTGGGATGATATGGCTAGTCAGGGTAGAAGTTATAGGATTGCAGCAGTTTGTGAGTGACATATTATTTATTCACGCGTATCTTCCTTTGTGAACTATCTTTTTGTGTTTTATGTCATCTAGAAGTTTGAATAAATGGCCTTGTTGAGTTTTTAGGTTCGGAATTATCTCTTAGATAATCAGGAAAAAAAAACCCTAACATTTTGAGAAACTGTTACATGCCAGGTGCCTTCTGCTGTGCTACCTAATTTAGTTCCCATATGTAGGTCACATGGTCCCCATTTCTATAGATAATGAAACTTAGAGGTCATTCTTTTTCTGTGCTGCCTCTCTTCCTGACTCCCATGTCTTCCTCAGTTGATCTCTAAATTCTCTCTGGAGATCGAACTGGTCTTTAGAACATAGGATATGTAAGAGACATGAGTCTTGAGGCCTTAATGATCCCCCAAAGCCTGCGGTTTGTTGTTTTAAATGTCACATCCTAGCTATTCCCATTGACATTGGAGAAGCCTGCCTCTGACATCCACTGATGAGCAATAAAATTTTCCTTAATATGTTTTTGTAAGAGCTCCTTTAGACTTTTGTGGTAAAGCTATCAACTTAGTTTATAATCATTTTTAATCTTGATGCTTCCAAGAGAAAGATTCTCACCACAGCCAAATAAGCCTGATGCCCAGTGAAGTTTCATGTTTCTGCCTCTGGTTATAGCATTCTTGTGCTCTACCCTTCAACCTTTGCACAAAGAATTTTGTGGGGGAAAAGAAAGGTTAAAGTCCACGACTTTCGCATTCCAGAAGGTTATTTCAAATACAGAACAACTTTACTTCTCTGCTTGTTTCCAGAAAAGAAACTCTCAGCTTCATTTTTATGTCTCTGGGGCCAAAAGCAGTATGTAGGAGATCCCTGGGTGGCTCAGAGGTTTAGCGCCTGCCTTCAAAAGCAGTATGCAAGGAGATACAAAGTAAAAACATGACAGAGTTTTTAAAAAGACCAAACATCAGATAAAACTAAAAGAAATAGTA